GATGATTCAGATGCCATCTTTGACCTCTTGCGTTTGGAGGACCCTTAAAGAGAAGAAGTAACCAGGATGGACATTTTTAGTTACTTTCTGTCATTTATAGACGGGAAAGAAAGCTGATATTCAAGGTAACAGCTCTGACGGCTTCATACCACAGGAGTCTTGAGCTGGTTCCAAAGACTTCTCATTGAAGACTTCTGTGTCACTTTGACTGACTTGAGACTTCTGTACAGCTCTAACTTCAGAAGACAAACCACCTGTTTTGATAAAAACATTTTGTGAACTTATCTTATTTCACATACTAAAGTGGCAAGTAGAAATCAATCTCATCAAGAGATTTGCCTTTGTAGACCTCAGTTCCACGCTTGATTGCCATGAACAGCTTGCTCATCTTTGCAAGCTGAAGTGTGTTCTCGTTAGGTGACAGTATTCACGATGAACACAAATATCATGTCCCATAAATTTGGCAAGCTGATCCAACTCATTTTCTTTCAGGTTCATTATCTGACTAAATGTAGCCACATGTTTCCTCAGTTGGGTTGACGTGAGTGTTTCCTTGCCCCACTTGTGGCTGCATATTTCCTCAAACAGTCTGAACCTCGGAGATGAGAATCCGAATGCTGTCTTGCAAAGACGTACTCATTACTACCCAAAATGCCATTGTCCTCACCCCTTTGCTCAATGAGGAAATCAAGTGATTTTGTCATCTCGCTGGTAAGCAGAACAGGTACTTTATGGCCTCTCTTCCCTCTTATCACCAACCTGGTAAACTCATGACTCAAATCTTGTTCCAGTTTTGAAAGGCACTGCATAATGTCCTCATTTGGTTCTTCTTTGGTTCTGTTCCTATAGGTCAACAGAGGCAATTTTGCTGCCTCACCTTGCCGTCTTTGGTTGAAAAGTATCACCAGCAATATAAGAAATTGGCACTCCACTGAAATAATAAAACAATATATGGAGCATTATGGACTTGGTGATAGCTGGAGAATGAGTAATCCTACATCTAGAGAATACACCTACTTTTCCT